GGCGTTGGAATGGGCTGCCCAGGGCAGGGGGGAGTCCCCATCCCTGGAGGGGTTGAAGAGTCGGGCTGAGCCAGCGCTGAGGGATCTGGGGGAGTTGGGAACAGTCAGGGGGAGGTTCATGGTTGGACCGGAGGAGCTTCAAGGGCTTTTCCAACCGAGATGATTCTGTGATTCTGTGACAAGTCATCAGGTCCTCCAATGCTCACTGCAGAGGTAGGAGAACCAGATTATTTCAGCAGGAGGGGGCCCCCAAACCCATCTGTGTAAAACCCCCCTCTGGTCCCTACACATGCGTAACTCATGGTGTAATGCATCCAGCACCACATCCAAGTTCGCCCTGAACCTCAGATGATGATACACAATTTTCTGATTGATTTAATGACTATATTTTCACCAGAGTTGTTTATTTTTAAAAGTGTTGTCTGTTCAGGAGGAGCTGTCTGAAAGCACCCAAGGGTTACCTGGGAGTTCCTGCACCTTGGGTAGATGCCAGGGTACAGGGGATGTGCAGTAACTTTATATCCCCCAGTAACTTCCCAAGGGGTGAGTTTAAGACAAATCTCCAACTACTGCTTCACTGGGCATAAAAACATTGTCCTGCAGTCGTGCAGTTATAGTGATGTCACTGGAGGGAATGAAAGTACTTGGGCAAGTGAGTCAGCCAGGTGTGTGAGCTAGTATTGTGTGCTCGTGGGCCCTACAAACTGCATAAGAGCATGTCCAGGCTCAGTTGGAATGTGACACCTCTTTGTGCCGAGCCCCCAAGCCCAAACTGCAAATCCTCCATAGGATGGTGAGAGGTTTGGCCACTGAATGACTTGGCCTCTCACCTACCCTGACTTCTCTTCCCTGTGGCCTGGTGCTACCTGGGATGCTGCTAGAAAGAAACATTTTCCACCATCCCAATGGGGATCCAGGGCTGTGGCTTTTCTGAGACTGACCCCCTCGATTGCTTTGGCAAGGTGCTATACCCAATGCTGTTGTGCCAGGGACTGATTTCCATCCTTCATTCACCTTCCCCCCATCCTCAGTGCTCTTCCTCCTGGAAACCCCCCAGGGAGAAGAGGGAAGGCCCCAGGCGGAGCTGATACCCTCAATTCTGCCACCCCACCGTACAGAGCACACCCCTCACAGGCCACATGTTTAGCTTCAGTGGCATAAATCAGCCCTGGGCAAAGCAGCATATCTGTGAAAGGCTGCAGGGACAGCAGTACCTTTATTAGATTCCCCCAGCACAGCTGGAAAAAATAAGGAGCACAGACATGCTTTCAGGCACATAACCCCCGAGCTTAGCCCCGCATTCAGTCCTGTCTGGTGATTTAGTAAGAGATACCAGCTTTCCCCACAGACTGTGTCTCTTGAGCAACCTTAAACCCTCCCAGTTCCAACACTGCCCCAGCAAATCAATCCAAGATGGTTTTGTGCCTTTGATCAGCACAGCAGGCAACTGTACGGCACTGATGGAAATGTGTTTCACTTCTGTGCCTCGAACAGGCAGTAGAAACAGTGAAAGATAACCCTCCCGTCCTGAACTGCCTGGCGAAAATCTTCCACGCCCTGGGCAAGCAGGAGATGGCCAAAGGGGTATGGAATATGTCACTGGATGTCCTGTGTGCTGGGTGTCTGAGGAGTGGGCAGGTCCCCCTTCCCACAGGGACTTGTCCTTGCAGCCAGGAAATCTGGACCTGATCCGGGCTCTGGCACTGAGCTGCTGAGGGACTTCCCCAGGTCCCTCGGGGCAACATTCCACAGGATACCGAGTCACCTTGCGGAACTGGATCAACTGTTTAATGACTGTAATGCTCCTAAAACACTCAGGAGCATCAAAAATGTGCTCTTTAATCCCCTGATTTTGCCCATTTCCAGCCTCCAGTAAACAGGAGCGCGCATTAGTGAATATCTCTTATTATAGAAGAATCATGAAGATTTCTTCAAATCCTACTTTTAAATACTCATTCTTACTTCCTTATATTTAAACAGGATTATTTAACTGCTCATAAAATGAGCATCAGGAAAGTGAAATCTCCTTTAGTGGAGTACTTTAATACGTGCTTACAACTGCTCTTCAGAGATGTTGAACTTCCTCTGAGCTCGAGTCAGGAGGCTGAGGAGTGCAGCATGGAGGTGGTCACTGGGTGCCGGGTGATGTCTGCCTGCCAGATTGGACTGGAGAAAGCTGTAACAACATCAAAAAAAGGCTTTTTTGATTTCTCAGCCCTTCTTCAGGTGCATTCCTATGGCCAAATGGTTCGACCTCTAAACATGCCAGGGCATGCTGCTCCCATGTCTTGACCCCATATTCAAGGACCCCATGATCACCGGGAACCAGATTTACAGTCAAGATCAACAGGATGAGCAACATCTCAGGGTCTTGCACCACCTTTCCCAGTACTGCTAACCACAAGCCAGCCTGGGGTCATGCTTTGGAGAGCGCTGGGCAAGCTGGCCTAGCTCTCTGGTGTAGCTTGGCATGGCCAAGGAGCTGACCTGAGGCATGTTAGTGGTTTGTACTCGTATCATTTCATCATCCATCACGCAACTAGGCACAAGCTGATGTTTCCTCTGGTCTCCAGATCAACGTGAAGATGTATCTGCAAGATTTGGAACATGCAAGATGGGACAGGGCCTGGTGCCTGACAGGAGAAAGCTCATGCATGTGAAAAATGACCTCAAAAGGGTCCTCAAGGTTTGTGCATACCTGAGGACAAACCTGGACACGGGCCAGGTGAGGATGGGCACATCATACCCTTAAGATCCCAGGGAGCTCCTTGCAGTGTCCCCAGGTTTTCATGAACTCTCAGCCCTAAAGTTAGACCACGAAGACTGAGGGAGGCCCTTGGCTGCCTCTCCCTCCTGTTGGGCCTGGATCTATTAGGTGTGAGGGAGATGGAGGGGTGCAGCATGGCTGAAGGCAAGAACAGGGAATGGAGGAATTGCTACGGTTAACATCAGCCTTAGCCGGGGGTGAATTCGGAGAGCTTAAGGGAGTGAAGAGCCACTGGGTGACATTAGACACAAGGGTGGGAGCAGGAATCCATGCCCACGTGTACACTATGTACGTAGTGCTGAGAGCAGGGCAGCCACACTCTACTACTCCTCTCCCCGGAGTCTGATGGAGAATGTCATCCTCAGAGGTAACCATTGGTCTCTCTTTTCTCCTGACAGCCGCATTTTGTCCTGCCCCACCTCTACTATTTTTTACTATTACATGAGGGTGGATGCTGTGCAAGAACTGTTCCTGGTGGATGAAACCCCTGCGCAAAACCATGGAGTTTGACCTGAACTGCAGCTCTTCAGGGGAAAATGACTTAAAAGCCAGGAAACACTCACCAATGAGTGCTTCAAGTGGGCCATTGATCTGGACAATGCAGGCTTCACTAAGAACCTGCAGTGCCTCCCAGAGCCATTGCTTGTGCTCTTTGGTCAGATGAAGCTGAAGACAGAAAATACTGATGCAGGAGGTGGAGCAGCAGGTTAAGAAAGCTGAGGAGAAATTCCCAGAGCAGCGCCTGCAGCAGGAGCTGAGGGCGGTCTGCTGCAACCACATGCCGGAGGTGATCCCGCTCTGCAAAGCCATGGCTGCTTGGGGGAGAATGAAGCTGGTGAAGTTGCTGTTTGAGATGATGAAGGTCGATTCTCCCAAGGGCAGGATGAAGGAGAGGTCACTGTCCCTCTGAGTCATGGGGGTGGTAGCAAGTTCTGCAGAGTGGCTGTCTCTCTCATGAGCTGTCGGGATCTTTGGAGTTTTCTAAAACCTTGTTAATTAAAAAAGCAACAGACAGATCCCTTGTGGTGTTAGCCCTGTAAGATCCCTGTTCTTTCTCCGCTGCCCCTGGCATTGGTGGCTATCCACTGCTACCCCCTGCCCATGTCTGGCTGCCTGCTGAGGTCCCTCCGGCTCCCATCCTGAGTAGGCAGCAGAGAGCCTGGGGTGTCCCCTGCTTCCACCATGTCCCCAGCCCCACGATGGCCGAGCTGGGAGCCAAAGGGCTCCTGCTCCTGCTCTTGCTGTGGGGTGGTGTGTTCTCTTGACACCTGAGCAAGTGACATCACCCTCTGACAAGCCCACCTCAGCTCCTGTGCCCACCCTAAGGATGCCCACCCACTTCCACACAATCCAGCCACGGGAGCTCGACGCAACTACGGGGTTGCTGCAACCCGTGCTGGGTGGGAGACGGCAAGTGACCCCACATGTCCCGTGGGGTTGTTGAAGGTTAAACTTTTAGAACAACATAGAAATATTATACTTAGGTCAGGAAAGATGCTTTTTGTGTATGTTAAAGCCGAAGGCATCCCTAATCAGAAGAACGAGTAGATAGCTGCCTTTGAGCAAGGACATCCCGGAGCCATTAGACCTTGAAGAGGGTACATTGCCAACTTGGCAAGTACACTCAAGGTCCACGTATCCTTAGCTGAATTTCCCTCGTTATAATACAAAAAATCACGCTTATAGGTCAAGAAGACCCTTGCCTAGGTGAAAACCCTTCCCCTGAGCATGCGTAGAAGTACTGTGTCAGCAGTATTATCATCGTGTGTAAATTACTAACCAGTCATCCTAGAGAGGATGGGCTTGGAAAACTACTAACTCTGCAAGTTTTGTGGGTAAATACAGTGTGGGAAGCCCTGTTGGCGTGCACCTTAGGAGGAGAAATCCCCCACGCACCCGGCGCTGCAATAAACCAGTGTCGGCTTTCTAAGCTACCCTTTGGTTTGGGGGGGTTTCCCGGTTGGGAGTTTCGCTCACAGGGTCTCCCCGCGGCGGACTGCCGCACCGCCCGCCCGACAGGTGGCGCCCGGCCCCCTCCTAGCGCCGGCGGAACCATAGAGACGGACATCCGGTGGGCGGAGGGCGGCTTCCCTCACGTGACAGCGGGCTGCGGTTCCCATTGGTTGTGCCGGCGCGGCGGGGCGGGGCGTGTGTACGCGCGGGTGTGCGGGTGTGTC